TTCTAGAATTGCATTATTAATTAATAAACAGACTATAGCACTATATTTATTTATTCAAATATTTACCTAATGTCCTTTTTATCTTCCAGGACCTCACTGAAGATATCACATTACATTTAGTGTCAAGTCATTTTAGGTTCCTCTTAGTTGTGATAGAGTCTAATAGTTTCATTGATTTTGGTGACCTTGACAGCTGTGTTCAGCTATTTTGTAGAATATCCCTTCATTGTGAGTTTCCTCATGTTTTCCTCACTATTGGACTGGACTGGCAGATCTTTGGGAGGATAATCACAGATTCTAAGAGACACTGTAATTATATCATATTACCAATACATACTATCACGGTTGGTACTGCTCTTGACCACCTGGTTGTGCTAGTACTAGGTTTGCCGATTGTAAAGGTTTTATTTTATCTGTTTCCTTTTTCCATACCATTCTCAGTGGAATGAAATCACAACCCACAGTACACATGTAGTAATTATGTTTCACCTCCTTAAGGATGAAGTATTTACAGAAATTTTTTTCAATTCTGCAATCATTTTTTTTTTGTACAAGTGTAGACTCATTGATACTGGTAGTTCACATTATAATCCAAAACTTTTTTATATATTATGGTGCCCATATTTTGTTAGCTTATGTTATTGGGAGTCCTTTCAATTGGTTCTTGTCCTTTTGACAGGTCCTTTACACTATGTTTATATGGTTTGTTTTGTTACATTTTGTTTTTTGGTGCCTTGCTCTTCCTTTTTGTTTTCTAAAACTATTTGCTATTGCAGGCTAATATGACATATTTCCTTTTCTGCTATTAGAATTAGCCATTTCTCCAAGAAATTTCAATTCACTTTACAAAAATTCCAATTCCTTTTTCTAAATCTTGGGAATTAAAAACCAAGGTATGAGCACAAAGAGTAATCATCAATATTGGAGAATTATTCATATGCTGTGTTAGATTACAGACAAGGTGATATATATGACTATAACAACATCTATTATCTATCTATCATCTATCTATCCATCCATCTATAAAACTTAACTATTTTTATAACCATCTGTCTATGCCTATGTGTAATGTATACATATATATAAGGCTAAATGTTAATTCATATTTCATTATCAATACTTATTTATTCAGATGAGTCTATCTATGCCTTCTTCCTTTGGTTTTATGTAAACTGTAACTTCAAGAATGAAATACTTTGATTATATTTCTACTTTCCAATATATATAATAGTTGAGTAACACAAATGTATCACAAAGCAAATTGAAAGTACTTAAAATATGTCCTCAAGCAATACATCAAACCATCCTCTGTAATTTATATCTTAATTATATAAAGCTAAGTTCATTTAAACTTCTTAGCATTATATATTATTATTATCAATGGGAAATTTCCCATACACAGTGGTATGATTTTGTTCATAAAGTCCAGTAATCTATAAGGTGAAGTCTAAAAAAATTACCCTAAACAGCAAAAAAAAGTGTACCTTATCTATTCACTTTTTTTTTTTTTTTTTTTTTTTTTTTTTACAGGCAGAGTGGACAGTGAGAGAGAGAGACAGAGAGAAAGGTCTTCCTTTGCCGTTGGTTCACCCTCCAATGGCCGCCGCTGCAGCCGGCGCACCGCGCTGATCCTGGCAGGAGCCAGGAGACAAGTGCTTTTCCTGGTCTCCCATGGGGTGCAGGGCCCAAGCACCTGGGCCATCCTCCACTGCACTCCCTGGCCATAGCAGAGAGCTGGCCTGGAAGAGGGGCAACCGGGACAGAATCCGGCGCCCCAACCGGGACTAGAACCCGGTGTGCCGGCGCCGCAAGGTGGAGGATTAGCCTATTGAGCCACGGCGCCGGCCTATTCACTATTTTAGTACATCTAAATCTTAGCAATAATAACAGCTACCATGAATCTGAATGAATTTAATATTCAGAACTTCATGCTAAGTACAATAGATATACTATCTCCCATAATACTCATGGACATCCTTTAACATACTTTTTATTTGTCATGTTTTATGGAAGAAATCCCTGAGGTTCTGTGTGAGTAAAATGCATTTCCTCTGATCTATTAGGTAAGCATCAGAGAATTGAGTCAAGAAGGACAAGAAATTAATTTCCAAGCCACTCCTCTTGTAGCCTCATACATTTTTTTCAACCTTTTATCAAAAATATATTTGGAATTTCCACTAAATAATAGTCTTTATTGATCATTTTAGCCATAAATATTAGGTAGTACCTGATAGGGTCTTTGAAATATAGCACTTATAAGTACACACATTATATGTACATTTTATATTTTAGAGATTATACATATATTGTTCTCGACTGAATACCAATAAGCTTTTCATAAGGACACTGGCTAAGTCCTAAAGAGAGAACTAAAATTAAAGAAAATGTTTGATTACCTGTCTCTTAGGCCAGAAAGAATTTCTGTGAGGGCAGATAAGTTTTTTGTTTGTTTGTTTGTTTGTTTTTGCTTTTTTACATTCAATGCTCTATTCCGAAATACTGATACTTAGATATAATACTGAAATTACTAAGCATTGATGGGTGGATTAAACTTGATATAGAGTAATTTTAAAATATAATGTTACTAGATTTACCTCTATTTCTATAAATGAACAAAAATCATGACAACTACTGCCTTCACAGAGCTCAAGTTTCAGTAATGCACAATAATTGCTTTTCATTTCTTTCATATCATTTTAATTTATTCATTTTAATAGAATTGGATGATCCCAGAAAAATACACTGTTAATCGTTATGTGAATCTCTTAATATGATGGCTATTCCATTGGTGTTATGAACATGAGAGGGATGGATATTTGACACATAGTTTTATGTGTGCTGCAATGAATTAAATTAAATATATAATACAAAATTATTTAGAGTTCATTTAAGCACTAAAATCTGGTTCTATTTTGGTTTGATACAATTAGGAAAGTTAACTTTTTTTTAATTTAATTTAATTTTTTTTGACAGGCAGAGTGGACAGTGAGAGACAGAGAAAGGTCTTCCTTTGCCGTTGGTTCACTCCTGAATGGCAGCTGCAGCCGGCGCACAACACTGTGTTTCCCCCAAATTCATATGAAGCCCTAGTCCCCCCGTTTGACTGAATTTTGAACAAGGGCCTTTACAAAGGTGATGATGATTACATGAGGTCATAATGATGGGACCCTCATTAAGTGGAATGGATGTCCTTATGGAAGAGAGAGACAACAGGAATTCATGAATATTGAGAAATATCACGTCAGAACATCATGAGAAAAAAGCCACCTGCAAACCAAGGAGAGAGACCTCAGGATAAACCAAGCCTTTCAGCAACTTGATTGTGGATTTCCAGCTTCCAGAAATGTGATGAAGTAAATTACTGTTGTTCAAGCCTCCTAGTCTGGGGTAGCCCTAGTAGACTAATCCCAAAAGCCACAAGCAGGGTATTCCCTAAGCCAAACTGACTGCATAGTATTATGTGCAGGTACATTTTTTCTGGTACTTACTACTGCTTGATTGTTTTAGAATTTTTCATATGTGTGAGTACTTAAAAGGACAGCTCAAGAATATAGATATACATGCAAACTATCTATCTATCTACCCACCTACCTATCATCTATCATCTATCATCATCATCCAGCAGCCTACCATCTAGCTAAAACCAATAATAGGTATGTTTTTAAATGTTTTAACAGGTAAGAATAAATGAAAATTGTTTTTTAAGAACGTTGGTCCTTTCACTCACAGGCAGCCTAACCAGATGGCTCCCAAATAAAGCTCATTGTACGTTGTTGCCACATTGTGGATATGTCTTTCCCGTGCTCCACCTACAAATCCTCAAACTCACTACAGTGACAATTTATTTAACAATAATCATCAAACTTAGAAATACATTTCAATGCTATAGAAAAGAAATACTAACTAGGAGGGGCAAGTTTTGTTAAGTAAAAAAGAAAATATTAATTAGAAATTCAGCTGGGCTGACATAAGCAGCCATTGCTTGAAATGACTGTACCCCACATCAGAGTCCCAGTTCAGGAACTGGCCGCTCTGCTTCCAGTCTAGCTTACTGTGGATGTGCTTCCTTGGAAGGCACAGGATGGTGAGGATACGTGTGCCCCTGCACACGTATGGGAGACCAGGATGGAGTTTTTGGCTTCTGACTTTTTCCTGTCCCAGAAAGGCCATTGCAGCCGTTGGGGAAGTGAATAAGCACATTGAAGATAATGGAAGATTTCTCTCTCTCTCTCTCTCTCTCTCTTTCTCTCTCTCTCTCCCCCCCCCTTTTCACTTTCAAATAAATATTAAATAAATAAATCTTTTTACAAATAAAAGAAGTATAAATATTTCCTTGTTTGGGGTAGTATGTAAATTAATACATGAAAAATACAAAACAGCTCAGAACATAGCAAATTCTTGATAATATTAAGCAACTATTAATGTTCTTGGTGATCTAAACTCAAAAATATGTTTCTAGGGGCTAGCATTGTGGCACAGAGAGTTGAGCCACTACCTGTGATGCCAGCATCCCAAATGGGTACCAGTTCGCTTCCTAGCTGCTCTACTTCTGAATCAGCTCCCTGTTGGTGCACCTGAATAACCAGCAGAAGTGTGCCCTTTCACCCACATGGGAGACCCTGATGGAGTATCTAAAATAAAGTGATTCTCTTTTATTCATCTTATTTTTTTCTCTGTCAAATTTTTTCTAACCTGTTTCAACTCATTCAGCAAGAACATTTAAAATACCTTCTTAGTTCCAGTATATCTCATAATATATGGCTTTTGCACTTCCACTCATTTTGATTTGAATAGAGCATTTAGCATATGAAAAGAATTTTCCCTCCAGATAGCTACATTTGACTTTTGGTAATTTATAAGATTGTTCAGTAATCACTGGAAAAAACAAAAGCTGATCTAAGTAGATAGATGGATGATGGATAGACAGATGGTAGAAAAAATATTATTGTGATTGTAATCATAACCCATGGGAAGATGTTTCTAGGGCTAACAATACATACCTTTAATTTTCCTCAATATTAAATGCTTTTTCTGGCTATGTTCATCATTTCCTTTCCATTTGAGGTTTTCAGCATAGTGAATTAAAAGGTTATTTAGATTCTTTAAGTTTTAAATTAAAATTAAAATGTATCTATTATGTCAATTTATCTACAAAGTATGTAATAGTAATATCAAAACCAAGATGTATGAGTGTTCATAATCTGCTTTGGAATTATGAGGTAATATAAAGGACATCTAAATTCCAAGCTGTGTCATCACCTTGTGCTTAAGAACTTGCTAAATTTAATCTTAATTGACATAAATAGATATAGAATTATAAACTTGTACTTGCACTAAAATGTAACATCCTTGATATCCCTCACTCCGACTAAACTGACACTCAATGACTTGCCATGGATTGTCACATCTGTTGCCCTGGAATCCTGTGAAACAACATGTCTCAGACAGATGTTAAGGCTTCTCTTAAGACTTAACATACCCTGGTCTCTGGGCTAAATTTGCCTAAAAAGGGATTTAAAAATAAATGCAATCTGCATAGAATCTTTCATTTGTTTCTGGTTGTGTTCAAGCTGTAGTTCCTCTGAAGACTCCAAGTGTGCACTTATCGTTGCTGACAGATTCAAACAGAAGTGTTAGTCACAGAAGTGCAGAGCCCGGAAAAGTTGACGATCCCTGCAGAGATGTGTGGAAACCCAACTCCTATTCATTAAAAGCAATGGCAAAATGTAAGGGAAATAGGAGGTGACAATAGTTACAGAGATACTTATTTATTGTCAGGAGTCTCTTCCCTCTATCATCCATTCCTCAACACAGCATGAGTTAGAAATTCTGTCGATAAATATTTGACTCTCAACATTCAGCCTATTTTAATACACCATTAAATATCATTTTTGGGTCCACAGCTTGTCATCATCATTTGTCTATACCTGTGGCAAGGAATTTGTAATAAGATACTCTCATTGTTTTGCACACATAAACTAAGATGATAAATGTTATATTTTACACAATGATCAGATCATCAAACTTAGAGCCCCAGCTGACATACTGGGTATATTCTATACTGGGTTTGAGTTCTATTTTAAAAAGTTAATGATAGAAGGCAATGGGTTAAATGTTATAAAATCATTTACACATTTCATTATAGTGAAATAACAGGCTGCATGAATTAATATAATGTGCAATGATACTTATTCTTTGATGCTGTTTGTTTTTAGGATTTGTCTTTGTGTAGCTTTCTAGGTGAGTCTGGAGTTTTTCTACCTATATAAAGTTAAATCAAATAAGACAATAATAAAACATATGTTCAAAAGAGGAAATGGGATGATTAAACTAATGTTTCACTTTCTCACTTGCATAACAAAATCATTCTAACAAGCTTTGATGTTACAACAGCTTTGGAAAATGTGCATTGTAGAATATATGAGTGAAATGGGTGATGTTGACAAGATGCAAACAAAAAGATTCCAATTAAGAACCGCTAGGCCAAAGCCAGAGTTGCCACAACCACCTCCCTCTTCTCTCTCCCTGCCCACAGACTTGGAAATACGAAAAAAAAAAAAAAAAGTGCGCAACATTACCAGTAACTAGGAAAATGTAAATCAAAACACACTGAGATCTTACCTCACAACTGTTAGAATGGCTTCAAAGACAAAAGGTCAGAGTCAGTAGGGTGTGAAGGAAAGGAAACCCTTATACACTATTGGATGGTATGTAAACTGAATCCATGATTGTGGAAACAATACAGAGTCCTAAAAATTTGAAATTAGAAATGCCATACAATCCAGATGTCCAACGTCTGGGTAAAAATCCAAAGGAAATGAAACCAGTTACCTTGAAAAGCTATCTGCATGCACCCCATGTGTGCTCACTGCAGCATGATTTAAAATAGCCCAGACATGAAAACAACATAACTGTCCATCAATGGATGACAGAAAACATGATGATCCTTGACGTATAATAAGGTTAAATCCCAAAACCCACTGTGTGCTCAAAAAATTAAAGGTCAAACATGGATTTAATACAACTAAGCTGGCCGGCACTGCGGACTCAATAGGCTAATCCTCCGCCTGCAGCGCCAGCACACCTGGTTCTAGTCTCGGTCGGGGCGCTTGATTCTGTCCCAGTTGCTCCTCTTCCAGGCCAGTTCTCTGCTATGGCCTGGGAGTGCAGTGGAGGATGGCCCAAGTCCTTGGGCCCTGCACCCCATAGGAGACCAGGAGAAGCACCTGGCTCCTGGCTTCAGATCAGCGTGGTGCGCCGGCCGCAGCTCACCGGCCGCGGAAGCCATTGGATGGTGAACCAACGGCAAAGGAAGACCTTTCTCTGTCTCTCACTGTCCACTCTGACTGTCAAAAAAAAAAAAAAAAAATACAACTAAGCTAACAATTAACATAGCTCAGTCTTGCCTAACATCAACATTCTCAGAATACTTACATTAGTCTACAATTCGGGAACATCATTAACACAGAGCCTATTGTATATTTCAGTAATGAATATCTCATGTAATTTATTGAATGCAATATTGAGAGTAGAAACCAGGATTTTTTTTGTGTACTGGAGAAACAGATATGTATTTTGGAGACATGAAGGCATACGAAAACACCCAAAATATGTAGGCAACACAGTCCATTTTCTTTTTTATATATTTTTTTTATTTTATTTTTGATAGGCAGAGTTAGACAGTGAGAGAGAGAGACAGAGAGAAAGGTCGTCCTTTTTCCATTGGTTCACCCCCCAAGTGCCAGCACTCAGCAGATCCGAAGCCAGGCACCAGGTGCTTCCTTCTGGTCTCCCATGCAGGTGCAGGGCCCAAGTCCTTGGGCCATCCTCCACTGCCTCCCAGAAGAGGAGCAACCGGGACAGAATCTGGTGCCCCAACCGGAACTAGAACCTGGGGTGATGGCACCGCAGGCGGAGGATTAGCCTAGTGAGCTGTGGCTCCGGCCAATACAGTCCGTTTTATAGTATGTTTTTTACCATCAAGATCATGTAATTGGCACCTATGGCTCATTGCTACTGCTTAGATCCCAAGAAAATATATACTGCCATATTTGTTAAGTTTTTATTGCTGAAATAGCAAGGCGAGATGCTAAGACAAACTCTGCTTCTCCAACCAGCACTCTTGTGAGAATCGCATTCTGAGGACATGTCCAGTGACTCAGAGACTTTTCCCTGGACACAACTTCTAGGCTCCATAATTAGATAAATTCTCCACTCTTAATCCATTAATCATTAACATTAATCCATTATTAATTAAAGTAAGACTGTGGTTACAAAGCATTCAATGGAGGGGTCTCTGAAGGACACCCAAACTTATCAAAATCATAGCACTGCAAAATCACTAACCTAGGAAAAGGTCAATATTAAAAGCACTGCCTCTTTTGAATGCATATCACTTTTGCAATATCATTAAGTAAAAAAATAACTTCTGAATTGAAGGTTTATAATTTGGGAGCATCTGTGTATGGGTACATGTGTATGTGAGCACATGTGTGCACTTAAAATGGAAAATCATTCAGCCATAATAAGAAAGAAATTCTATCATTTTCTGCAACAGAGATGAAACTGGAAGAATTTTGCTAAGTGAAATAAGGCACAGAAATGCACAGAAAGACAAATACTGCATGATCTCAATTTTATATGGAATCTAAAAATAGTCAAACTCACAGAAACAGAGAGTAGAATGATAGTTGATTGTCAGGGCCTGAATGGGGGTGAGAAGAAAAAATGGAGAGATACTGGATGAAAAGTATAAAATTTCAGTTATACAGGATGCGTAAGCTCTGAAGTTCTAATTACACATGCTGACTACAGTTAATAATATTGTATTGTATACTTGAAAGGTTTTGAATGGGAAGATCATACAAAAAAAAAAAAGGAAGAGAAAGAAAATGGTGGCTGTGTGAACTCTTTTTTTTTTTTTTTTTCTGATTTGGTTAAAGGACATAATTATTTCACAGTGTATATATCTACCAAGACATCCGGGGGGGGGGGGGCTTTTGGTGTATCAAGGAACACCCTGCATCCCACATCAGAGAGCCTGGGTTTGAGTCCTGGCTCCACTGTCTGCTCCAGATTCCTGCTAACGTGCACTCTGTGATGTGCCAGGTGATTGCTCAAGTGTTTTGCTCCCTGCCACCCAAGTGAGACCCAGATTGAGTTCTAGACTCTTGGCTTTGCCCTGACCTAACCTCAGCTATTATAAGCATTTGAGTTTTGAATCAGTGGATGGAAGACCTGTGCCGCTGTCTCTCTGCTTCTAAAATAAATAAATATTTTTTTTTAAAATGTTGTACAACATATAATTTCTTTTTGGTATTTATACCTCAATAAACAGATAAAAGGTAAATAAAACAATTCTGAACAATGTTTCCTCTGAGTTTGTTTTTTAAGATTTATTTATTTGAAAGAAAGAGAGGGGGAGAGAGAAAGAGAGACAGAGAGAGAGAGACAGAGAGAGAGAGAGAGATCTTCCATCTGATAGTTCACTCCTAAAATGCCTGCAATAGTTGGTGCTGTGGCATATTGGGTGAAGCCACCTCCTGCAGTGCTGACATCCCATATGGGCACCTGTTGAGGACCTGCTGCTCCACTTCCAGTTGAACTCTCTGCTATGGCCTGAGAAAGCAGTAGAAGGTGGCCCAAGTTCTTGGGCCCTTGCACCCACAATGGAGACCCGGAAGAAGCTCCTGGCCTCTGGTTCCTGGCTTCAGATCAGCACAGCTCCAGCCATTGCTGTCAAAGACTTCCTTCTCTCTCTGTGTGACTCTGACTTTCAAATAAATAAATAAATCTTTAAAAAGAACACACATATACTGTTTTTTTCTTGAAAGCAGAGATAACATCACAAAGTGAGGGATTCATGACAAGGATCATAATGTGGGGAAAAGAAGGGTATATTTTCATGGACATGGTATGAATCATTGAAGCAATATTCATAATGATATAACAAATGATATTTGGAAATCATTATACTAGGTGAGATGAGCCAGGCGCAGAAAAAGAGCTATCATGTTTTCTCTTATTTGTGAAGGTTAATATAGAGAGTATAAAAATTGCATGGATGTCAAAACCACTAACTTTTTGAAGTGCTCTCATAACACTTATATTTGCATTTCATTGATCAAAGCATATCACATGAGTAATGTAAAATTACTGGAAAAAATTAATCCTATC